CCAGGATGGCCCTAGGGTCTGGCTCCACCCGTGGAGACATAGTCCCTTGGCCATAACTTTAAAACGGTTGAGATCCCCACCACAAAACTATATATAAACATTGCTGGGCATAAAGAGACGAATGCAGTCATGATATTAGAACAGACCCTGGGGTCTGACCGAACTTCTAAGGACCTAGTTTCTTATTCACAGCTTGGAAACAGTTGAGATCCCCACCCTATAACCATATATACAATTGCTGAGTATAAAAAGAGGAATGCACATATGCTTCCAGGATAGCCTTGGGGACTGCCCCACCATTGGAGTCTTAACCCCTTGGTCATAACTTCGAAATGGTTAAGATCCCCACCCCAAAACTATATATACAATTGTTGGGCATAAAGAGACGAATGCAGTCATGATATTAGAATTGGCCCCAGGGTCTGCCCAACCCTTGCAGACTTAACGCCTGGGGCATAACTTTGAAACGGTTGAGATCCCCACCCCAAAACTATATATACAAATGCTGGGCAAAAAGAGGCAAATGCAGTCATGATATTATATTTGATCCTGAGGTCTGGCCACAACCCTATGGATCTAGTTTCTGAGTCACAGCTTGGAAACAGTTGAGATGCCCACCCCATAATCATACATAAAGTTGCTGGACATATTAATCTAATACAGATATGCTACAAGGATTGGCCTTTGGGTCTGGCATATTCCCTTGGATCTCATTTGGAGAATATTTTTGCCATGATTGCTTAGATATCCAGGTGAGCGATACAGGCCCTCTGGGCCTCTTGTTATTCCCTGCTTAACGTTCAGCATTACGGATAATTGCAACGAATAGTTCACCCGTTGCCAGTATAATGCGACCGGGTGGAATGCTGTGGTATGGTATTTCAGTGAGATAGCACTATAAAGTCGTCATCAGATCCGCGCTATCACAAGGAGGCAAGTACACCAACATACCTTGTTTACACGGAGGCACGTCCTTAATTGACCTTAGCTGTTAATAGGACCTTAAACAAAATAAAAACAAACTAATCATGGTCAATATGGACTAAGGTAATTTTAACCAGTATTTTAACTGAAAAGAAAGTATGAAAAGTAGGTCACAATGACATTCTTATGTCAAAACAGTTGAAAGTTTGTTTTGTAACCCGTTGACTATTTTAAACAATTACATACATGTTGTATTATGTAGTTTGAATTTTGAAAAGTATATCACAGGGACGTAATTTGGTTAAGCATCACTTTTTTCATTTATGCTAATTTCTGAACCTAATGACATTTTTTAATAATGTACGTCTCATTTTGAAAAGTAGGTTTTAGTATAATTTCTGAATCCTGTAGCATTTTATAAAGTTGAGGTAAAACTAGATAAAAAGAAGTTTTCATGGACCTGGTTTGGAAAAAAATATGTAAAGTTCTGAACCCTATGACAACGTCTTTAAATATAGCACAAATAATTTGGTATTACAGGTATTTTACAATATCTTTTTCAGATTACTATTATGGATAATGAAGGTCAAACTTTCAAAATTAGGTCACGGTGACCTATTTTTGTCAAACACTTGATGAATGTTAATTCTGAACTCATGAACTTTTTTTTTTGTAATGGTTTTATTTTTCTAAGTTTTTCATTACATATACATAAACAGGACATTCACACATTCTCACATATATCACATATACACACACGGACATGGATTAAGCATTATCACAATCAATTTCATTGTCATCATTCTATCATCATCAACATATCATCATCATCATTATCTTTATCATCTTCTTCATCCTCTTTCATATATACTTATTCAATCATCATCATTGCCATAATCCATCATCATCCAAAATCTTCAATCATCCATTCATATGTATCATCATCAACATATAATTATCATCATCATCATACAATCATCACCATCATCATACAATCCTCACCATCATCATACAATCATCACCATCATCATACAATCATCACCATCATCCTACAATCATCACTATCATCATACAATCATCATCTTCAATTATAATCTTCACTCATCATTCTATATGTATCTTCATCAAAATATTATTATCATCATCATCATTAATTCATAATATCATCATCATCATTCCTGATTTACAAACATTTTCAAATTTAAAATCCCTCACTAAGTTGTTGTATACATCAATTCACATGTACACACACAGCTTCAAAGTGAGTTATTCCATGTCCTTAATCAAATTATCAATAAAAAATATACTCAGGCATTCGCTCACTTACACTCCCCCATACACACACACACACAGTACACAAATGATAGTCATTTGAATTAAGAAATATGAAAAGAAAAAAGAAAAGAGAGAGAGAGAGAGAGAGAGAGAGAGAGAGAGAGAGAGAGAGAGAGAGAGAGAGAGAGAGAGAGAGAGAGAGAGAGAGAGAGAGAGAGAGAGAGAGAGAGAGAGAGAGAGAGAGAGAGAGAGAGAGAGAGAGAGAGAGAGAGAGAGAGAGAGAGAGAGAGAGAGAGAGAGAGAGAGAGAGAGAGAGAGAGAGAGAGAGAGAGAGAGAGAGAGAGAGAGAGAGAGAGAGAGAGAGAGAGAGAGAGAGAGAGAGAGAGAGAGAGAGAGAGAGAGAGAGAGAGAGAGAGAGAGAGAGAGAGAGAGAGAGAGAGAGAGAGAGAGAGAGAGAGAGAGAGAGAGAGAGAGAGAGAGAGAGAGAGAGAGAGAGAGAGAGAGAGAGAGAGAGAGAGAGAGAGAGAGAGAGAGAGAGAGAGAGAGAGAGAGAGAGAGAGAGAGAGAGAGAGAGAGAGAGAGAGAGAGAGAGAGAGAGAGAGAGAGAGAGAGAGAGAGAGAGAGAGAGAGAGAGAGAGAGAGAGAGAGAGAGAGAGAGAGAGAGAGAGAGAGAGAGAGAGAGAGAGAGAGAGAGAGAGAGAGAGAGAGAGAGAGAGAGAGAGAGAGAGAGAGAGAGAGAGAGAGAGAAGGAGGGGGGGAAGGTTGAGAGGAACAAGATTGGTAACAGAAGAACAATTTGTCACATTAACCTGTCTATCATACAGTAACAGTTGTATTATATCAGCTCAATATACTTAGAATATTCCTATCTATTACTGTTACCACTTAATTGGTTTTCTATATATAAATCATGAAATTGAGGGGTTTATGGAATATCAAGAAGGTTTTGCCACTTTTCCCAGTCTTTTTGGAAGGTATGTCTATGTTTTTCATCTTTCCCATTCACAATATATTTCTGTATCTCATAAGTCTCTTTTATACAGTTTATAAGGCCATTTACTGATAGAGCTTTTTCTAGGCATCTTGCTTTATAAACATAATATTTTATAATAAGAATAATTTGGTTATCTACCATGTATCGAATTCTGGTTTGATCACATATACCGAAGATAAATGTTTCCTTATTAAAAGCAAAAGGAATAAACAAAACATCTAATAAAAACTCAAAGTTTGTTAATAAATTCTGAACTTGATTGCACTCCCATAGTGCATGCTCTATTGTTTCAATGTCTGATTTACAAAAATAACAATGAGGATTATCTACTATTCCAGCCCTGTACAGATATAAGTTTGTGGTTAAGATGTGTTGATTAACTCTATACTGAAACCATTGCAGTTTTGTATTTTTGGTTACTTGAAATGGTGTTTTGTAGATATTTCTCCATGTATTATCATTATAATCAAAATGATTACTCCATTTCTTTCTACCAGTTGACAGTGTATCATTTTTACAAAGCAAACTATAAAAGTCTTTTGTACCTTTCCTATTTCTTAGAAATATTTGTATATTACTAGGTATATAAGGATAGCTTATACATTTTATTTCATGTTGTTGAGAGAGATGTCTTTTAATTGTAGATAGCAGACCTTGGTACTGAAGAAAATTTGTTTCAATTTTAAAAATTTGTCGAACTTCTTGTAGAGTATAAAACAATTTTGAATTATTATCCTTAAGTAGGTCATTAACTATAACTACACCTTTACTGAACCACTTCCTATAAAAAATACTCTCATTATTTATTTTAAACAATTTATTATACCAGATAGGCATTTTGGAAAAGGTGTTATCTCCCTTGCATTGATTATCTCGTACTATTACTATCTTTTTATGAACTAACTCTATGAACTTTTTGATAATGTAGGTGGTCAAATTAAAAAAAAATGGGTCACAGTGACCTTATTTAAATAAACAGTTTTTAGATATTATTATCTGACCCTATGACCCTTTTTGAAAATGTAGGTCAAATTTTGAAAATTAGGATACCTCATTTTGTCAAACATCTGTTAATTTCTGACCATTACAACCATTTTTGCTAATGTAGGTTAAATATTTAAAACTAGGTCACAGTGACCCAATTTGGTCAAACAACAGTTTAATGTTTATTTCTAAACCCGATGACAATTTTTTGTAATGTAGGTCAAATTTCCAAAATTAGGCCACATTGACCTAATTTGGTCAGACATCCATACTGGGTTAATTTCTAGAAACAGGTCGCCATGCAGGACTTCGTTAAGTATAACATCAGTGGACATTTTAAATCAATATGTCAGTTTTTCATATGGTTCACTTTTCAACGGGGGTCCATTTTCAACGTTGAAAAAACAGACCCCGGGGGTCCATTTTCAATGTTATATCGGTAGTGGACAGTCACATGTAATAATTCATCAATACCCACATAATGCTTGTTACTTTTGTGTTTGCCTGAATATCATAATATAGCACGCTGTCATTGTTGAGTCGATTACTAATTCGTTCCAGAGAACATCTTTCCAGGGACGTAAACGGTATAGTGTATGTAAGTTTGTCACTTGACGAGTGTGGCTTTTGACCTTTGACCTTGACTTATAAATAAAAAATGATATTATTAGTGTTACAGATAAATCAACATCCCATTTCGAAAGAAAAGTTATATCGCCAAGTTTAACTTGTTGGCGTATTATGTGGTTTAATACAACTGTACACGACCAGATTCATATTGATGTTGTGCTACCTAAACGAAAATACCGCACATTTGATCATATGAGTTATGGTTCTTGGGGCATTTTGTTAGTTCCGGCTCACAGAAAAATCAACAAGTCATAATGTGTAAAGCTCAAAAACAGCTGTAAAATGTGAGACTGAAGTCACGTCATAACTAGAATGTCCAGTTACCAGGCGTTTGGTGAAATTCCAAACCCAGGAAGACTTGCAGATAATGTAATTATGAGGCAAAAAGTCAATATATCCGTTAGCAGGTGTCGTATTCGGAATGGAGAAAATATTGTCAACAAATCGGGGCCGAACAAATCGCCAAACGAGGATGTAATCAAATGTGTTGGGTCAGCTTATAGCAAAGACCATGAACTTAAACAATGATACATTATTTAATGTCATTGATTAACAAGAATTAAATATGCTGGGTACAGCAATCACACGGAAGATAATTTTAAGGGGCAAGTGTTCCATTTCGGTCGGTTATGCCTTATGGACATATTTTAAGAAGTCATCTGCCATTAAGCATATTTCTTTAATAAAATGTAGTTACTTTTCGTGATCCACCCCCGCCCCCCATTAAGTCATTATTTATCTCAAATTATATTCATTTTAAAACTATCTATAAACGAAAATCACCAGGCAAATATTTTTAGCCAACATATCTTTTTTCTTTTGTAACTTGCATTGGTGATCAATATAACTGTAGCAGAACTGGACTGGGTCGATTGCCAGCAACCAGGTAGCTTAATAAGTAAAATGACTGTTCAGAGTTCAGAGGTCACCGGTTCAAATCCCAGTGTGCATTTTCCCTCTCTCCTGTTTCATAATATACAGGTCCAGTACACTCTGCCGATTGAGCTATATAGCTGTAAAGACCTATTATAGCTCTATTAGGTCTTTTGAGCTATTTTCAAGTGATTTTTTTTTAAGGAAAACGAAACAAAGACGCTTTTAAAAGGAGATTGTATCATTAGGCTGATAACAAAAGAAAATTTACATTTATGAAAAATGAAAATAAACATCTAACTGTATGCTCTTTGTAGTCAACGTTACCATAAACCTTATTGTTTTATGCGACTTTGATTTAATTTGATGAAATTTGAAATCTGAGAAAATATAGCTCAATACAGCTATAATTTATAGGTGTATATATATAGCTATATAAGTCTTTATAGCTATATAGCTCAATCGGCAGAGTGTACTGGACCTGATATATAGATCACCGATTTGAATTTAAATCTTTTTGACCCCTGGAATCACCGATGAAGCCAAAAAGGACCAAACAGCTGTATATGATGCAGCGTGATTTTTCGCAAACTGTATCTATTACCAAATTTTTCTGTTGCAATCACCTGTCTATGTGTTTTATATACTAATCTTTCAGAATAAAATTGAAGATTTTTTGTCTATTTTCAGAATTTAGTTGAGACAACGTTTGGTGCCAGCAATGGTCTGTCACCGGTCACCACAGTATCCGTTAACACTCCCTTACCTAGAGGTAATTAGTCAGCCCGTGTTGTACACACACTATATATTCATTGACTTGTGTCCGATCATTTCTTCAAGCTGTGTCTTATATGTAGGACGATTATTTGAAATCTTAACACATGCAGTTTCGTTATAACGGCGTTCACCAGAGCTTTGAAGAAACAGTCCGAGACTAATAAAATCTATTACCTATCTGCAACTGAGCGAGATCAGATATACCCAGTCGAGGACTTAGATCCTGTAACATAACGTAACGTAAGCCAAGGTTGGGATGTTACAAAATCTTAGCCCGAGACTGAGATAACGCAATCTTGCTTAGTTACAGGCAATTGATTTTTGTTTCATTTCAGTGTTCTTGTATAGGTGATCTGTTGTACTTCGATTTATTAGCTGTAATTTTACGTATTTTATTCCTAACAGTCAGACCTTGATTAAAGTTGGAAATAGCAAGAGAAATTTGAATCATAAATGGAGTATTAGTAGTGTACAACTGTTATATAAAGAAAAAATACAGACTTTGCCAAAAGTTCGATTGTTATTATGTGACATATTGAGAAATTGGAATCTTTGAAATTTGATTTATGGAAGTTTGACTGTATGTGTGTTTATCTTTGAAATGTTGTAAAAAAAGTTTCTTAATTCACCCCTGAAGACTCATTTGAACTCAACCAATTCAATGGTTGGAATAGTTTATTGTGAAATTTCAGGGGGTGAATGAGTTAAATTATGGACACCAGTGGTACTATTTTCTGTCCCGTTATATTTTGAAGAAAATGACACATATGACCCAACCATCACCCGAGGAACGGCTGAGGGCATGACCAGTCCTACCTTCCAGGTAAACGTTTACGAAGATTTATACAAGAAATTAAAACAGCTCGGACGTGGCTAAAACACAAGTTCACACAACTTTACATGTACATTGTAATCAGTTATGATCAGTGGTGCTAAAGGTGAATATTTGATTCCTGCGAGCCTAAAAATAAATATTCTTTGATATTAAGGATCTCTGCCCACTGCTGACAAAACTAGAGATAACTGTAGCATGACTGCATGCCGCTGGTGACCAGGTAGTGATTTTTGTAGGGTGAATTTTGGGGCATTATGAATACACCTTACCATATAATAATAATTTCTGCTGCATTTTCTCAAAATCGATGGAAATATCACTTTTTTTCCCCAAAATCATGCTTTTTATGTATGATATTTTTCCAAAGTCACAAGGCACAGGCCCATGTGGAAAATAGGTAGAAAAATCACTGCAAGGTTATTTGGTTGGTTAGAGCAACAGTTTAATTATCTGAGGTCTAGAGTTTGAATCCTGTATTTCAAACTTAAAGCTATTGTTAATGTGTTGTTGTTTTTTACATTTTTTTTTCATTTTTTTTTTCATAAATGTCGCACTAGATCACATTTTCATTACAGAAATGATATATATCAAAGCTATAGTTATGGCGGAAAAAATTAAAATTTCAAATGTCTAGTTACACTTTTTAACAGTGGTGCAGGGATCTTTAATAGCTTTGAAAAGTGCTGGAATATATATATAATTTATATACTGAAGACAATTAACATTGGTTATTTCATGTTGTATTTTGTATCTGTATACAACTATTTCCCTAAAATTTTAGATTTGGAAAATTAAAAATCTGCAAACAAAAATGCTTAGAAATAACATGAATTTGGTGTTAAAAATTCTGCATGAATTATGAATGGCGTAGGTACAAATTGGGATTGATACGTGTATATGAAAATTTATATATATTTTTTGTAATGTACATGTAACCACAGTAAAAATGTCACGATTTATGGTAATTCTAATTTCCCCAAGCCAACTCTGATTTTTAACAAATCAATTACCAACTTAAAAAAGAATTCCCAAAGTTATAATAATTACGTACGTACCGTTTGTAGGGTTTGACATAAGGTAACCATATAAGTTCACAAAGCGTACACTTATTTAGCTGTTCAGACACTTCAGAGAATCTACACTATTTACTGACCTTGCATTTGATGAAAAATATTTAGGTAAAAACGAAAAAAATTATCTCGAGTGAAGTACCGTAACATCCAACTCGTACAAACAGAAACGGGATAGCTGTTCTGGTACGCTCGTCCTTAAGACTTCGGAATGGTGAAGCTACCATTTTAAAACACTGCCTCCCACCACCACCCTATGTACATTTTTGTATAATATAATTTATATTTTTCTTTATGCATAAATCGTCATTTGTGCAATCCATTCAAGAAATCCTGTCCCACAACAGGAAAAACACTGAAGAATTCCACTACTTTTTCATACATAGAGTAACCTCCCTTGAATTTCATTTTCGAGATGTCTGTATATAGGGCAATCGGGACAGCGTAGTAACATTGACTATATATACATAGCTCATTTGGTTAGAGAAACCATACAATGACAGAAGCTCCAGAGTTTAAATTCTAAGGACCCTGTGCAACATTTTTCACACCCAAAACACAGTCGGTGATGGTTTCATCTGCATTATTTTTTTCGTAAGAGTTCTGCAAGGACTGTGTTTGTTTTCATAGATGATTTCACTGAAAGCTATAGTCATATATGAGAAAAAGAGATTAAAGTGTATAGTTAACATTTTTGGCAGTGGTTCTTGATATATTCAATGATACCTGACTTTACCAACATCGGGGGGAGCTGATCATAAAAATACTTGATTGCTTGGCCTTGACCATGTATTGGTCTGACCAAGTACAAAAAAAACCCAGGCCATCAAACCAGATAAATTTTTTCGGGTGGCGTGAACCTTGTGGAACATTACCATATGTCCTAAATGCTGGGAAAGACAGGGGCCTGTTGGTTTATGCGGAACAACTGGTTTCTCCCATTTATAAATGTAACAAATTCATGTATAAATCCTAGCGTACCTGCAAATGTTTATGCAGGCCTTGCAAGGCCTTGCAAGGCTTTGTCAAGGCTGGCCTGAAAACAGCATCAGATTACTAGGTCCGACCTTATTTAATAAACGAACAACTGTGGTTCGACCGGTTTAACCGATTAAACGAAAAAGGCCCAGGTGATGGAAAAGTCAGGTTTCACAGCTGTATATACATGTTATATATATATATATATATGCATCTATCATGAATGCCCTTTTCACCTTTGACCTGTTCACTTACATTCACCTTTGACCTTTCACCTTTGTAGAATGTTTAATCATTATCCTGTTCACTTTCATTTTGCATGTGGGGACATTTTGCACTTTACTTGTTGTATTTGATGTCATCCTACACAATTCCAGGGAGTAATTATAACCCGCACTTATGTTCTCTGCACTCCTGGAATGCGTCATGACAAAAATGGAGGTACATGGTTTGCAATTCAATTGGTTAAAAGTGAACAAAAACGACTACTGTATAGTTGCAAATATTCATGTGGGTTCTTATTCGCGAATGCGTTATAATTTGTGAAATTCAAACCCTTGTGAATATCTTGAGATCGCCGCCATGACAACAAAGCTTCACACGGCCATAAAATAGACTTACAGATATTGTGATTTGCGAAAATCAACCCAGCGAATAATTTCCGGACACGAAATCGTAAAATTTTAACCTCTGGAAATTTAACTACATTACAGTTATAGGAAGGCTAAAATGCTTGTACTTTGAATACAGCAGAGGAGCAACAGGCGATTCGAAAGCCGGTAAATTTTACCGCAAAGCTACCAAGCAATTATTTTAATGTACGTCAAAGGATCAGATTAGTCTACTAATGCATGCATTGGTCATCCACAATGCGGTACACACTGAACCGTCGATGTTGTCATGACACATATATTCCAGAGAGTGGAGAGAATGCAAGAAATGGAATTCCACGGAATTTCAAAGATGTTGATGTGTACGTTTCCTTGTTCCTTTGTTCCTTTTGTTCCTTTGTTACAGAATTCAGACACCCTGTTAGTTGTCCCCCATCAACATAAACGAACAAATTCCAATGTTTCTAGGATATCGGCCCTCAGTGTGGAAGAGGAGGTAACTCTCACTTGCAAGACAGTGCTGCTGTGTTTGCAATAAAAATAAATATGTACATTTCAATTTTGTAATTGCCAATTTCACAGAAGACATTGTGATTGGGTCTCAAGCAGAAATATATGTAAACAAACTGATTCAGAAAAAGACCTGAAAAAAAGTAAGATATATTCTTTATATGAAAGTCTAAGAATATGACCAAATATTCAGGAATAAAGAGGATAATTTTTTTTAAATACTACATGCATATCCTGGGAGGTTAGAAGATATATTATTGAAGAAATTTTAAAAAGTTGTTAAAGGAGGAAAAACGTTATATTTTTTATCTAAGATAACCAGTACATGCATATTTGAAGTTCGAAGAAAGAAAAGATTATTAATGTCTTCATTTAAATGTTGGGCAAAATGTATATGCTAGATTTATTGTGATAAGCTCCTATAGACCTTTAATTTAGTAATTTGATTAATTATATTGTGTGGCCCAAAGAGATTACAGGACATCTATTAACGAGAATGGCAATACTAACAACTATTAACAATTTTTACTGAATTCATCTGTTTATTTTGTAACACTTCATGATTAATTTCACCGTCTTCATTGAACCTCATACATATTCTTTGTCATTGGACTATAAATGGTATCCTATATATAGTGTGTTCACCGGACGTAATAATTAACACACTTTCCAAATGTATCACTGCTGCTGATCGATCTACTAACCATTTTCACCAGAAACGGCAAAATTCATCTAGCTTTGTGAAAATACGGTCCCGTGCCAAATGATAGGTCACACATATTTTTCCCCTCTATATTTTATGATTTTTTTCCATATTTTTTTTAATGGGGGAGGGGAATTATCTGGAAGTTAATTAGTCTGGTGATGGATTTGAAATGAAAATTTGCATGAATTAGGAAATATCAAAATATTTTCTTTCGCAGTATTTTTAGTTTTTTCCGTTGAATGATTTTCAAGAAGTGACAACCTATTCAAAAGAAATTATTTTTGTTAGCACTCTGTCAAGTTTTTTTCCTATATTTCTTTATTCCAAAGTTTCACAGCAAAAAAGATAAACTTGATTAAAACGATTAAGAAAAACTAATGAAATTTACTTGTGTCATATCTAGAAAACTACTTAACAGGTAATTTTGAAAATGATAAGAGAGAAAAATTCAGACAATTCTCTTTCATGATGCCAATTTTTGTTTCTCATAGATATGTTTATAGCATTACAATTGAGTTTAAAAAAAATCACCGAAAACAATGTGATAATGCATGAAATATAGAAGAAAAGAAATGCTTGTGACCTTTAATTTAGTACAAGACTGTATATAAATCTATGGATAAGGATACCAGAATTTAAAATTTAGAAATATGTGAAATTTTGTGAAAAAAGGGAGTCTTCTTATTTATAATTAATAATGTGTGTTCCATATTTGGTTTTCATCAATTTTCAAATAGACTGCACAAATGATATTTTTTTTAATGCACTCTACACATCGATATTTTTGCGTGTGAAAATATTCCCGTTACGTGATTCTGTAAACTTATCACCGTGTCGAAATGTTTTGAGTTCACAGTGGCTCTAAAATCTACATATATTCTTTATATCTATAATCTATAAATAAATATTTGTGTATGGATATTTTCATGCTAATTTAATGTATGCAAAAAACGTGAGCATTTGCAAACCATGAAATATCTGGTACACGTATGTGATAGTTTGGTAGCGACGTGTGTTTCTTAACAATATTCGTGTGTGGATATTTCAGTGCTAATTTACTATATTAAAAAAACGTGAGCATTTCCACACTGCAAAATTTATGACATGTGATAATTTGGCAATGCGTGTGTCAATATTTTTGTGCTAATTTACTGGATGCAGAAAACTTGAGTGTTTCTATACTGCGAAATTTACGCTATGTGATAGTTTGGTTGTGCTGTGTGTTCCACGTACATCTCGCCTGTACTAGCTTAATCTCACTGCAATATGCGAATTCAAGCAATTGTTGTCGAATTTTAGGACTTACGATGATTGTGTTTTTGTTTGGTCGCGTTTCATGACCTAGCCTTGGCAAACTAATTCTCGGTGAAAAATGTGAATTGAGGTTCAGGATAAAGCGCTTTGTCCTTCACCGACAGGCTATGTTTGTAAGAATAGTTTATATGTTTGCGGGTACAAATTAAAATGAGGTCCAGCGTGAAGCCCCCCACCTGCAGGCATAGGTTGTTGTTTTATAAAACATAGTTTGAATTGTATATATTTTCTGGGACAAATTGAAACGGGGGTCCAGGGTGATATATTGGTGTAAGTAATATGGGGTACAAGTTACATGGGTGTCAGTATATGGATATAAGTTATATTGGTAAACATTTTATTGGGTGTAAGTATATGGATGTCAGTATATGGGTGTAAGAATATGGATATACGTTATATTGGTATAAATTATATTGGGTGTAAGAATATGGATATAAGTTATATTGGTATAAATTATATTGGGTGTTAGTATATGGATGTCAGTATATGGGTGTAAGTATATGGGTGTAAGTTATATTGGTATAAATTATATTGGGTGTAAGTATATGGGTATTAGTTATATGGATGTAAGTATATGGGTGCAAGTTGTATCGATGTAAGTATATGAATGTAAGTATATGGGTATAAGTTATATGGGTATAAGTATATGGGTGTAAGTTACATGAGTGTTAGTTATATGGGTGTAAGTATATGGGTATTAGTTCTATGGATCTAAGTATATGGATGTAAGTATAGTGGTGTAAGTTATATGGGTGTAGGTTATATGGGTATAAGCTTAAGTCATATGGATATAAATTATATGGCTATACAGGTGATACATGGGTATAAGTCAAACAGCTTTTAATGGTTGTAATGTAAGTATATGGGTGATGGTGGTATACATTCTATATACCAGACTGGGTGTAAATGGTAACAATTATAAGTTATAAGGAAATAGCGTGCAGGAGTCTCAGTGTTATTTGTGGGGATGTTAGATGTAAGAAGGATATATATACTGGTGTGAGTCATCTATAACACATGAATGGGTCCTGTAGGTTTTTAAAGTACAAATAGCAAGTATTTATGTATGTTGACATTGCAGTTGCAGAAAACCTTCAATACTCTAATCCACTTTTTCTTACTTTAGGAAATAACTGTCTTTGTTGAACCGCCAAACAAGAAGCTGTATTGCAGACTGTGTCAGAAAGTGTTCAAAGAACCTGTGATTGTAGCATGCGGGGTAAGTATACTGAATCTCATTTTAAACCAACTTGTTACAATAGAGTTAATTATCACTGAAAAAGTTCCTTTAGCAGGAATATTAGGTATATCTGTAAATAATATGTTCTTACCCAGACACTTTTGCTGACATTTTGCCAGCTTGGTCACTGGTGATGCTAGTGCTGTGGCAGTTACGTCCCCTTGTTCACCACAGTAAACAAAGGGTGAAATTTCTGACTCTCCGGAAGGCAAATCTCACTCTTTCTATACCAAAATCAGACTCTCCATGAGGCCAAAAATCATTCTTTTAAAACCGAAACCTTACTCTCTGGAAAGGTCAATCTCATATTCTTTCAAAACCGAAATCTTACTCTCTGGAAAGGCCAATCTCATTCTTTCAAAACTGAAATCTTACTCTCTGGAAATGCCAATCTCATTCTTTCAAACCGAAATCTTACTCTCTGGAAAGGCTAATCTCATTCTTTCAAAACCGAAATCTTGCTCTCTGGAAAGGCCAATCTCATTCCTTCAAACCGAAATCTTACGCTCTGGAAATGCCAATCTCATTCTTTCAAACCGAAATCTTACTCTCTGGAAAGGCCAATCTCATTCTTTCAAAACCGAAATCTTACTCGCTGGAAAGGCCAATCTCATTCTTTCAAAACCAAAATCTTACTCTCTGGAAAGGCCAATCTCATTCGTTCAAACTTTTAAAGAATGAGATTGATTGGCCTTCCAGTGAGAGATTTTGGTTTTGAAAGAATGATATTTGCCTTTCCAGATAGTTAAACCAAGGCCACCTACAGTCTACTAAAGTCAACTACGGTCAACTACGTTCATGACCATATTATGTGACTGCGGCTTAGGACAGGGTTGACAGGCATGAACACTTTTTGTTTATTGATAAACAGAATTTTTGATGGTATATACAATGTATCAAGACTGATAAATCAACATGTAGTTTCAAAGTGCATTTTATTTTAAAATCTGAAATTTAGATACCAGATTCTTTCTATATAGTTATTCCTGAAACAGAACTCTAGATCTCACTTAAATTAAAGAAATCAAAATTAAATGTTTAGAATCAGTTTTTCTTGTGACATTTAGCTAATTATTCCAATATGTTTATAGACTATTCAGTAATGTTATAAACAGAATGTATTATTTTAACAGAAATTTGACAATTTTGATACAATTCGTAACATTTTGTGCATATTTTTCATTCCAGCATACCTACTGTCACCGATGTGTCACCAGCAATCCCGAAGGTAGAGTACTTATAATTATAAAGAGGTTCCCCAACGAGTTACCGTTGGCTATCTTGTGGTTCCGTAGCCTCCACGAAAACCACGAATGTTTATATACAACAAACATTTTATATTATACAGTAAAAAGAGGTTTTCAAAGACCAAGAGGTTTTTTCTTAAACGATGTATTCCAATTACAGTTGTACCAGTGGCAATCATTACGTTAAAGGTTCCTCTTTAGAGAGGTTTCTTAACTTTTATGTCTGGATTACGAAGTTTCCTCTATATAGAGGGTTTTCCAATTAATAATGTCTGGATTAAGAAGTTTCATCTTAAACGAGGTTACCCAGTTACCAGTGGCCAATCCATAATTACATTAAGTGTTTCTCTTTAGAGAGATTTCCTAACTATTATGTCTGGATTACAAAGTTTCCTCTATAGAGAGGGTTTTCCAATCATCAGTGTCTGGATTACAAAGTTTCCTCTTTGGAGAGGTTTCCCAAAATCCCTTTCCAATGTGAACAATGTTCCGCAGTGTATACGTACTTCGTGTTCCGGTATGCTCATCTTGTGTCCTTGTGCATTATAGCCACCTGCCCCGTGGACGGAAAGTCGCTGGACATCATAGTAGCCAACATCACTCTGTCCGAGCAGATTGGGGACCTGTTTGTCCATTGTAAATATGGATGTTCGCCATCTCTGGATGGACAGGACTATGTGGTCGATTCCAGCAAGTGTCCTGTGCAGTGTCGAATCACCAACAGGAGGTACATAAAAAAAAAACATGGTTACACCTGACAGCTCAGGATTTTTATTGCTCCCATACTGGCGCGAGGGAAAGACAGCTTACATGTGCTATGACCTCACGAAATAAGTCCGCCAAATGACGTTAGCGTTTGAAATAGTTGCGTTGTTTTTACTGTTAAATTTTCATTAATTTTGTACTTATTATAAGATATATCAACTGATATATTACAGTTATTGGATTATTTAATAGAAATATTGTTAACGCTGTGCTTTAATTGGATTTCTGATTTTATGTTCAGGGTTCATCACCCCTATGGAATTAACATAATTGTATTCACCATGCGTGTCATAGAATACAAGCATTTGAAGGTCATGGAGTATTGACACTGGCATGTTTATTTTGAGTATGGGAGAAAAAGAATCTTACATATGGATATGGTCCGTGGACAGGGAAATCTCAACTCATGGTTAAGAGTGTGTCTGTCCAGCACTCGGTAAAGCCTTGTGCTGGACAGCCAAACTCTTACCCTCGGGTTGAGATTTCCCTGTCCACGAACCACACCCATGTAAGATTCTATTAATCTCTTAAGGATACCCATACCACTCCAAAAAATTGTATCTATACATTTGAAACTTTTGTAGTTTGATCAATCGTTTCACCGAACTTCAAAGCCAGATAATTTTACCGCTACACTGCCAAACGATTCTTTTGATGTACATCAAAAGATAAAGCTCATCCACTTGCAGTGTGATAAAAGAAATGGCACATAAGGAACCTTCAGTTTTGCCATGAAATAGTCCAGGGGTGCACCATAACCTGATTTCCTGAATTTCAAGGACGATTTTCCTAGTAGCTACATGAACTTCAAATGGAGTACTATATGTGTATAAAGTTTTAGTTGAAACGAGGTATTGTCAAATGTCGGAAAAAAAATGATTAGTAACACATTATAACAACTTATTGACACTTTCTCTCAACACAAATTTACAATGATAAACAGGCATTGTATTAACCCTTTCACCCCTATGTAACTTTAGTAAACTCTACCACACATTTATCTGGGTGAGTCCATTATGGTCTACTGTGAGTGGTTAAAGGGTTAAATTTAAAATATGCATTGAATTCAAAATCTGACACTGGATTTCCTGAATTTTTGCACATAAAAAAAAGTAAGATGTGAATTTCCCAAAAAAAGGGTGAATTCCAAATGTTACTCAGAATTAAACTTTGATTTTATAAAGTGTCCTGATATAGATGCCCTTAACATTATTTGATCTGTTGAAAATTAAATCTTTGTATTTTCAATGAATATGATTTTTTTTTCATCGATGATGGATGAAAAATAAATAATTCTAATATAAAAATGTTTAAAAATATATTCTCCAGAAAAATGCTTATCTATTACTAATAAAAAAAAATTAAAAAAATTACATACCAAATTCAGATTGTTTGAGCATTTTAACCTTGAATTAGCAAATGGAAAACCCCTATAGAACAAAGAGTACAGAACGTAAAAATGTCTTGTTCTAGAAGATGAACATTTCTTCTTCAGGTATGGCTATAATTCACACCTGAGAAATGACTACTTAAACAAATGTATTCAAGATGATTCCATGCTAAACACAAATTTTATCTACTGACAATATTCAACTAATACTTGACTTTTGCATATTCATAAAACAGTCACTTGAACTGAGGAGAGTGGGCCTAGCTTCTGTGTGACTTTATATATTGTTCAAAATTTTCCAAAATTTTCTTTGTACGTTTGTAGTGTTTTTATTTGCCTTCAAAATACTATGTGATTAAAAATGAGCAATAAAATAATGAATTGAATTGAATATGATTTACGATGCATTGTCTTTAGTCTGCTTGTGACTTTGTAGTGAACATGAGGACATGTGCGACTTCATGATGATGGAGTGTCCAAACAACAGTGGATGTCCCGCTGTCCTTAAAAAAGTAAGTTATCGGCTTGTTTTGTCCCCCAAAGTATGTAGCATAGTGGATGTTTAATAGATTCCCATTGACTACCATATAATATTTCACCAGTATGGCAAAATGCCGACATTTTTCACGAGTGTGAAACATGAGTAAAAATGTTGGTAATTGTTCTGCTGAGTGATATATGTTTTATGATATTCAACAAGAAAAGCAATACATTTTCTAATTCTTACATTTTAAAACTACCTACAATGACAAATGTTTTACTGGATCAGAACAGTTGGGGATATAGTAGTGTAACCGTGGGCGCCATGTTGTAGTGACTTCAGCTTGACAACAAGTTAAGGCTTTGCACTGTTTGAATGTTTTGTTCGAACAAAATTTTACCATTTTACCCGCAGAAGCGAGACTAAAATATCACTTTTCTGGCAACCGCAGCGTCAACATTAAGTTTTTCGTTTAACTTAGTTTCTCTGAAACTTAAGAACTAGACCAACCAAACTTGCACCATAGATGCATCTTAGGTAGTGCATCTCAACCCATGCATCAAATGCTGGATGCGGCCTACCGTTCATGGTCTATTGACTTTGTCAGCATCTCCATCAACACTAAGTTTTTGCGTTTTAAGTTAGTTTCTCTGATATGTGTGCATTGATGGTCAAAGCGGGGCACAGGCGAGACATATCAATATGAATGTCTTGTTGGCTATTATTTAGTAGGATTTGCTCACAGAAATGGTATCACTTGTGCAGATAAATTAATACTTTATTGTATGAGGCAAAGATGTACTAAAGCAAAGAATTATTCTATCATCACTTCATCTGTATCTTATAGAAAATCTGCAGTTTTGAATGCAGTGATTGGAGAGTACCATTCTGAATGGTCAACTCCAAAATTGTTATATTCACACTGCGACAAATGTCGCTTTCAATGTTTTTCGCAATGTGAAAGATATCAGTTTAATCAATTTGATGGAATTAGATATCTTATTGTCAAAAATGTAATAATTTAAGACTCGATCATGCCCAAGTGTGTAGGATAGGGAAATTCCACCCGAGGGTTTTTCAAATTTGGTAAAACCTGAGGCTTTGACCAGAAAGTCTTCGGTTTTACCATATTTGAAAATTCCCAAGCCTGGAATTTCCCCATCCTACACCCTTTGGCATAAAAGAGTATTTTTTTCTCATTCCATTCAGAATAAGCTCAGAAACCATGAAAATGCATTTGGACATTTTGAAAATATTAATGTACCCGTGAGCTTTAATGACGAAACGAATCTGTCAGCAAGATTTAACATACCCAATATTTGCAAACAGAATTTGCGCAGAAAAGTTAATCTCATCTTTCTAATGTGTGCGGTAAATATATCGAAAAAGGTTTTAATTTCATTAAGTCGTCTTTTCCAAATTGCGGCATGGGAGTTTTCCAAATTTATGACGTCACCCCATTGTTGAGCCATTGGCGACTTCAGGTCAAGCGGGTGTAAGGTAGAAATTTCTTACACCTCTTTCTTACTCTGGACAGCTCTATCTTACACACACGAAAATGAGAGAAATACAGTCATTGACAAGATGGGAAATAGAATTTTTTATTGTACACTGTGTAATTGTGTTACTTTTAAATGTATCTATTCAGTAAACTGAGGAATGTAACTCCTGTTTTCAGGATTTGGAGGACCATCTAAAGACTTGTAACAGAGCTCGCTGTCCACACAATCGATTTGGGTAAGAACTTGGACTATTTTTTAGGCTCAGGAATGTTGGAGGGTGATATGAGAGTTTGTTTCCTGAAGTAAATCATGCCGTAACTCCCAGTGATAAAGCCCAAGACAAGAAACCTTCATGTCTCCTTCCTCTTCTAATCACTGTGTCTGTCTGTCTGTCTGTCTGTCTGTCTGTCTGTCTGTCTGTCTGTCTGTCTGTCTGTCTGTCTGTCTGTCTGTCTGTCTGTCTGTCTGTCTGTCTGTCTGTCTGTCTGTCTGTCTGTCTGTCTGTCTGTCTGTCTGTCTGTCTGTCTGTCTGTCTGTCTGTCTGTCTGTCTGTCTGTCTGTCTGTCTGTCTGTCTGTCTGTCTGTCTGTCTGTCTGTCTGTCTGTCTGTCTGTCTGTCTGTCTGTCTGTCTGTCTGTCTGTCTGTCTGTCTGTCTGTCTGTCTGTCTGTCTGTCTGTCTGTCTGTCTGTCTGTCTGTCTGTCTGTCTGTCTGTCTGTCTGTCTGTCTGTCTGTCTGTCTGTCTGTCTGTCTGTCTGTCTGTCTGTCTGTCTGTCTGTCTGTCTGTCTGTCTGTCTGTCTGTCTGTCTGTCTGTCTGTCTGTCTGTCTGTCTGTCTGTCTGTCTGTCTGTCTGTCTGTCTGTCTGTCTGTCTGTCTGTCTGTCTGTCTGTCTGTCTGTCTGTCTGTCTGTCTGTCTGTCTGTCTGTCTGTCTGTCTGTCTGTCTGTCTGTCTGTCTGTCTGTCTGTCTGTCTGTCTGTCTGTCTGTCTGTCTGTCTGTCTGTCTGTCTGTCTGTCTGTCTGTCTGTCTGTCTGTCTGTCTGTCTGTCTGTCTGTCTGTCTGTCTGTCTGTCTGTCTGTCTGTCTGTCTGTCTGTCTGTCTGTCTGTCTGTCTGTCTGTCTGTCTGTCTGTCTGTCTGTCTGTCTGTCTGTCTGTCTGTCTGTCTGTCTGTCTGTCTGTCTGTCTGTCTGTCTGTCTGTCTGTCTGTCTGTCTGTCTGTCTGTCTGTCTGTCTGTCTGTCTGTCTGTCTGTCTGTCTGTCTGTCTGTCTGTCTGTCTGTCTGTCTGTCTGTCTGTCTGTCTGTCTGTCTGTCTGTCTGTCTGTCTGTCTGTCTGTCTGTCTGTCTGTCTGTCTGTCTGTCTGTCTGTCTGTCTGTCTGTCTGTCTGTCTGTCTGTCTGTCTGTCTGTCTGTCTGTCTGTCTGTCTGTCTGTCTGTCTGTCTGTCTGTCTGTCTGTCTGTCTGTCTGTCTGTCTGTCTGTCTGTCTGTCTGTCTGTCTGTCTGTCTGTCTGTCTGTCTGTCTGTCTGTCTGTCTGTCTGTCTGTCTGTCTGTCTGTCTGTCTGTCTGTCTGTCTGTCTGTCTGTCTGTCTGTCTGTCTGTCTGTCTGTCTGTCTGTCTGTCTGTCTGTCTGTCTGTCTGTCTGTCTGTCTGTCTGTCTGTCTGTCTGTCTGTCTGTCTGTCTGTCTGTCTGTCTGTCTGTCTGTCTGTCTGTCTGTCTGTCTGTCTGTCTGTCTGTCTGTCTGTCTGTCTGTCTGTCTGTCTGTCTGTCTGTCTGTCTGTCTGTCTGTCTGTCTGTCTGTCTGTCTGTCTGTCTGTCTGTCTGTCTGTCTGTCTGTCTGTCTGTCTGTCTGTCTGTCTGTCTGTCTGTCTGTCTGTCTGTCTGTCTGTCTGTCTGTCTGTCTGTCTGTCTGTCTGTCTGTCTGTCTGTCTGTCTGTCTGTCTGTCTGTCTGTCTGTCTGTCTGTCTGTCTGTCTGTCTGTCTGTCTGTCTGTAGACTATTTTTGTTTGGCTTTATAAATGATTTTTCACTATCGTGTAAATATAAAAATAACTTGCTGAGTAATAAATGCCAAGTTTGTTTTTAACACATGTAACAGTGATTGAAAATTTATTCTGTGAGCTTTCAAAAGTGTCTGTTTTCTTTGTGAAGAAAATATTCGAGACACTGGTCATTAACACTTTTTGCTTGACAAATAAAACAGTTACGCATATAATTAGTCCAAATCTTAATTAGATTTTTGGTGGGTCATCAATCAAAGTTAAAGGGTCGAAGGTCGCGGATGGGGGAAATGGGGGGGNTATGTGAAGTTCCTCTCACTTCGTTTTTTTTCTTTTCTAGTTGTGAGTTTATGGGTATACATGATGAACTGGACGAGCATTTAAAAGTTTGCAAATTCGAGGCAATGAAGGAATACATTGTTCGCACAGAAGAAAAAATGTCCGACATGCAGTATTCACTTAATCAAAAGGACCAAGAAGTAGGATTTCTGCGTTCTATGTTAGGGAAGTTAGCGGAGAGACTAGAAAACATGGAAAAACAAACAGAGGACAGAGTAGGTAAGTAATACAGTCGAACTTTGATGTTTCAATATTCTATGTTTCGAACTTCGAACTTTGATGTTTCAAACTTTGATGTTTCGAACTTTGATGTTTCGAACTTTGACATTTCAAACTTTGACGTTTCAAACTTTGACGTTTCAAACTTTGATGTTTCGAACTTTGATGTTTCAAACTTTGACATTTCAAACTTTGACGTTTCAAACTTTGATGTTTCAAACTTTGCAGAACCATTGGGGAAAAAAATTGACTTAAAACTTCGACCAAGGAATGTTGAATTTCGAATATCTTTGAGATCCTGTATAAACTGCATAATTGCAAATGTGATTGTTAAGCGACGGAACACTAGACAAAACATTTGGTTAGAAAACTATAAATATTGGATTTAATGTAATTAGAGAAATATGTTTCATGTATTTATAGATTATATATTTAGGTGTTAAAATGACCCCGGACATTTCAAAGTTCTTGTTCAGGTTATTGTTTTACTGCAATTAATATCAGTTGTAATTTTCATAGTTTTCCGAAGGATCGGACCTTGATCGTACTTCAAAACAGCGAGAAATAGGACTTATAAAAGTTAAATTCATGAAATTTGAATTTTCGAAGTTCAACTTATGGAAGTTTGACAGTATAAATATATAATAATATACAAAACAATTTAATACCAAAGAGAAATACAAATGATACTAACAAGAAAACCTTATTTTAGGACGGATAGCTTATTTTAAAGATAACTTAAAAAGTTTGAATCTCAGCATACCCACAGGTCATATTTTCAAGTTTATGTTAATTCTGTTAGCCTGCATGGTAGAATACTAGCCACTTCCCTACCAACTCAGTGGGGGAAGATTTCTCTTTAACTCATTATACCACCTGACTGACCAAAGGAAGCTGTATATATTGACACATTGACCACAAATATCAAGGATTTTGCCATGAAACTGACCACAATTGTAATTTTGGAAATTGACAGACTTAACATCAAGTTCAGGGATTTGGCCACGAAACTGACCACAGGTAACTGTAGATATTGACACACTTAGCACAACTTACATGCATTTGGCTACAAGACTGACCACTAATCAGCAATGAACCTGGAAACTAGCATACTGAACACAACTTTCAAGGACTTGACCACTTGACTTTTGATTACAAACAACTAAATGTATTAACTCATTCACCCCTGAAGACACATTTGAACTCCTCCAATTCAAAGGTTGGAATAGTTCATTATGAAATTTCAGGGGTGAATCATGAGTTAAGATACTAAACGTTTCTAACCTGGCTAATACTGTTTGTCACAGAGCACCTGGAGCACAGACTTGGGGATGTGGTGGAGGAATTGGTGAGCGTCAAGAGGGAAAATACTGTTATGCAGGTAAGTGTATAGGCACGGTAGTCTAGTGGTAGGACGCCGGGTCACGTGTTCGAGTCATGGCACGACACTGTATTGTATCTTTGAGCAAGATACTTTACTCCGCTTGTTCCAGTCTACTCAGCTGTAAATTAGTACCAGGCTGGGAAGTGCTAGAATTGTAGAATGCTAGCTGTGAGCTACCAGCACCGGCTGTATGCTCCCCAGGAAGTTGAGAAAGATATCGGCTGGTTGCAAAGGCCCTATAACCACGGATATTAATTTGTGAACTGCTTTGAGACAACCTACGAACTAGGTTGTGATAAAGTGGTATATAAGAACCTCAAATTATTATTATTATTATATGTTTGTAATAATAATAATAATATACCACATTTGATATAGCGCCCTATATCTAGCTAGAATAAGCCACTCTGAAGCACTTAACAGTACATAGATATACAATTTATACACAATCAATACAATTAGCATATATACATTAATTAAAACAATTTTTGAGGTATTCGCAGGAGCTGTCTTATCAGTCTAGTTATATGCCACCTGGCTAAATATCTCCCTATGTGCTGGAGATGTATTGTGTTCTGTTTGTAGTGGGACCTTGCTTCCAACGTTATCATTTATAGTGCCACTTCACTTAAATGCTAAAGCACAGATACTGCAACATCCACCCCAGACCATTTTATACTCCACGTGGGTTGTTGGGTTTGTGTTGGCAGGAGAAAAACACTTTCTCTGAATATTCCATGCACAGGACCGTCCACTTTGGGGATCAAACCCAGCCGTCTGCATGGAAGGCCGGAGTGTTAACCACTCGACTAATCCGCCCATGTACAGTAAAACACATACTCCTCTGTTCTTGGGGCTGCGGTGGCTGACCATGAGTGGTTAAGGCGTCTAACCGTCTTGATTACTATAGCCCTCCACCGGGTTTCCCCAATAGGCAGTAACTCGTACCGAAAATGAAGTCACGATTAGGGGGAATTCCCAGATTACGAAGTTTGCTGATGTTGGCCGATGTTTGCCAATTTCATTATACATGGGATACCTTAAATGACCATAGCTGTTAATAGGATGTAAAACACAAACAAACCAAACCAAACTGTTCTTCAGCTGTTTTTCCATACCCAACAAATCAACATGATGCTGGAGGAAGACGAGCAGATGAATGATGGACCTCATTTAAGTTCCAGTATACAGTCCAACCTGCTCAAGAGACCACCTCTATTGATAAACCACCTGTTTAAGAAGACCACTGTAAAACAATCCCATTACAGTAATTTTGATGTCAACTGAACCTGTATAAATAGACCACCTCTGTTAATAAACCACCTGTGTTATAAAGTGACCACTTTTGAAGAAAATAAACTGTTACAGTAATTTCCTGTGAACTGAACCTGTATCAAGAGACCACCTCTATTAATAAACCACCTGTATAATATTAAGAGACCACTTTTGAAAAAAAACGACATTGCAGTAATTTTGATGTCAAGTGAACCTGTATCAAGAGACCACCTCTATTAATAAACCACCTGTGTTAAGAGACCACTTTTGAAAAAAAACATTCCGGTATGTTTATGTCAACTGAACCTGTGTTAAGGGACCACCTGCAATAAGAGACCATGTTATGGACTCCCTAATGTGGTCTCTAAAGACAGGTTTGGCTGTATGATCCCATGTATACCAATCACCTAAATGTTTAGCAAGTTTAAATTTAGTCTCAGCTGAATTTTGCTGAGCACATTTCATGATCAACTCAATACTGCGATCTTAGAGCCAACAAGAGTGATACGTATAAGTTGAAATGACTTGTTTCATAATTGTCGTAAAACAAATAAAGTTTATATTAAGTGCGAAGCTAAATTTTTAGTTCAACTTAAGTCTTTGATAGCACATGAAATTATGCAAAACTATGACGTCACAGGAACAATAAAATATGACGTCGACAAAATTTCTCTGTACAAATGGTGGCATTATAACAAGGTTTTACTGTATGTGTGATTCTTAGGCTTCATACTGTACCTTAACCCTTTCACCCCCTAGGTAACTTTAGTGGACTCTACCATGCATTTATTGGGATGAGTCCATTATGGTCTACAGTGGTAAAAGGGTTAAGAAATGAACTATTTTATCAAGGTCAAGTGGGTTGAGGTTTACATGTTTATTGTTGTAATTCTTTGCCAGGATGATTTAGAGCAAGTAAAGAATGTGCTGAGTTCCAGAAGTCTTCCCTATGCACGTAAGTAGAATTCCAATGTATACAACTTGGTTACATTCAATCTGAGCTTCTTTCACTCAAGCTTTGGGACCACGGTGGCCAAGTGGTGAAGGCGTCTGACATTCTGCTACCACTAGCCCTCCACCACTGGGTCACGGGTACTAGCCGTAGGTCGGTGGTTTTTTCTCTGTGAACTCCGGCTTTCCTCGACCACCAAAACCTGGCACGTCCTTAAACGACCATAGCTGGTAATAAGACGTAAAACACAAACAAACCAAATCACTCAAGCTGGTAAATCTTAAGAATCTTTATTATTTTCCTTATAAAGGCTAACGCTCTGAGAACTGAATCTGAAACCCTGATGAAAGTTGTTTCAGTTAAGAAGAATTCACATCTATTATTAGTGTACATAACATTTTGATTTCATATTCTGTACCGGAAAAGTTTTGCCAAGTCAAAGTTTTTGCTCCCCGTTGGTAGATCCAGTACTGTCGTGATAAATTTGCCCTCATTTTGGCGGGTGAAAAAAGGTAGAACTTAAACTGTTGCGAAAATTCCTTGTTATGTAGTAGTTCCTCCACAGAAGACACTACGAGATGTAGTCTATTACATGTTTTACCCGTTAAAAGTATCATCAGATGTAAAATAAGGCTATGTATTTTTATTACCAGTAGCTAAAATAGGATGTTAGAAAACTCAAGAGTTGAAATTAAATAGGTTTCACAGTATAACTGTCTTGAAGAATCCCCATACCACTGCCAAAAAAATGAAACTATGCATTCAAAATATATTTGTTAGCAATGGTATAGGGATCCTTAATCTTTTGGTAACGGTAGAGGGATCCTTAATTTTTCGGCAATGGTACAATGATCCTTAATTTTTTCTGGGTGCTTTTTACTTGAAAGATTATTGCATTGTTCTCTGTTAATTCACATGTAATCATTATGAACTCTGCTACTTTTTAGCCTACGATCCTCTTCAGATGTTCAAGTGTAGAGGGACCTTTGTCGGACATCAGGTAATAATCTAATGAACTATTAAAACATAAGTCGAGAATTCATAGAATTTTTTAGGTCACCTGAGACAAAGTCTCAAGTGACCTATTGCGATAGGTCATTCGTCGTGCGTCCGTAAACAATTTACATTTTCGACTTCTTCTCCAAAACCCCCGAACCAATTTCAATGAAATTTTGCAGGGACCTTCCATGAACAAAGTTCAACAAAAACAATTGCCGGTTTAGTCCTAAGCCCCCAGGGGCCTGAGGGGCGGGGCCAAAAAGGGTCAAATTGACTAAAATTTCAAAAAATCTTCTTCTCCAAAACCCCTGAACCAATTTCAATGAAATTTTGCAGGGACCTTCCATGGACAAAGGTCAACAAAAATAGTTGCCGGTTTAGTCCTAAGCCCTCAGGGGCCTGAGGGGCGGGGCCAAAAAGGGTCAAATTGACTAAAATTTCAAAAA